AATTGGAGGGAATGGGAGTCATCATTAATGAAGGAGGGAAGAAGACACCTGCTCCTTATAAAATGCAGAAATGTGGTAATTTTGAGCTAACAGTAGATGAGTTTAAGAAAGGAATAAAGGGGAAGCTCAATCCTAGTGGTGTTGATGGTCATAAAATTGATACTATTGTACTAGGATCAGTCTTAGGAATTGTTCTGTGTATTCTTTTGATTGTATTGTTTAAATGTGCATGCTGTACTAAGACTAGTAAGTATAGTAGAGTTTATTAACAATGAACAATGATTGATTTTTGTTTACAGTGTGATGGACTTGAGTTTTTGTGTCATTTAAACTTATGATAAATGAGAAATTTTGAATGCAGCAAACATATTGCATGGGCAGTAATGATGTACTAAATTTTTTTATTCTCTTGTCATTATGCATTACAAAGATTAGGGCCTATTTCAGAGCCAATTAACACTATACACTTTGCATTGATGCTGCTATAAGTTCAATGCTTGCATCCATTCACTGTATGTAGATGGCAAGCTGAATCCTAGTGGTGTCGATGATTATAAAGTCTACAATTCTTATGATGGCTATACAATAAAAGGGAAACTAAATCTTATGATTGATACTATGTTTTACGATGATTCAAATAACAAATATATGTATACTATAATCAAGGAATTCATATATTACATGACTGATTAAGGTGATTCAAATAACAAATGTATACTATAATGAAGAATATTACATGACTGAATAAGGACTAAAATGTCCTAGCATGTAATGTGCACAAACTGAATGCATGACATGACTGATAACAATGTTCATTGTTCATTTTGATGATTGTGATGATTTATATATATTCTCTTGTTGTTCATGACGTGATAAATCTACATGTACATGTACACTGCCTATATTGTTTTAAAGTAAAGAACAGATTTCAATATCATTTTTACCTTTATCGCTCTAGAAGTAACCACACTTTTTTAAAATCACAAAAATTACAAGAAAAATGACAATCATCCCTGCTCCTACTACTACTGCCCCAATTAATGCACCAACCGTCCAAGGAAGAACACAATCAGAAGTATTAGAAGATACTGTACTGGTAGGTGTACCTAGCTCTGTAACTAATAATAATAATAATAATAATAATAAGTAATATTATCCTAGTACATGTACTTACCTGACGAAGCAGAACTCCTTATCACTGTTGAAGGTGAATATTGAATCTCTGATGGACACACTTCAACTGATGAATAAGGGATTTCTATTAGAAATTATCAAATATTATTGATATTGAAGTGTTTCATATTGCACTATTGTACATTACACATTTATTGCATATTATACATAGTCAGTCACTGTAGCGTCTCTAAAATCCTGTATTCCAAAAAGAGTCAAAACACTCATTATGTACCTAAAGAACCATTCTTAACAGCAGACCCAACGACATTAGTAATAGTAACAGTATAATTATACACATCTCCTTCAGTGACATTAGTGAATATAAACAATCTTTTAGAGAGACAGTCCATTGATGGTTGAGTTAAGTTAGTCACAGTCAATTCACAGGACAATGGAGCAGGCTGTTGGTTGATATAATTATCCTATAAAATATAACAAATGGCAAGTTTTTTAATGCTACACAGCATAAGGACACTCAAAATGTACCAAAAAATGTAATAAAAGTTTGGTGTGATTTTGGAGCCATTTTTTGGAAAAAAACCATGGAGTATGT